TAATAGACTTTTTGCCGTATGAGTATATGTTGCTCAGGGTACACCACGTGGAGGTAAGTCTATTGCACACCCCCTTATTAATCTATTAATAAATCTTGTGCAACTAGAACCATAATTGAAAATATTTGGTAATACGGGAAATTATGCACTCAGGAGTTCATCGACTCTGTTGTTCAAATCATGTCTATGTTTAAGAACATTTTTGCTCAACCTGATGGAGACAATCTCCAAAAGCTCTTAAGGACTCAGAAATCAAAGCCTCCTCAATCAATCCTGCAGTAGTTTGGGGACCATTAGCGCAAATTCAATCTTTTTTCACCACATTTACTACTGTTTTAAATATTTGATATGTCGCAAGCGGTACTGTCAAAAGGTCTCAACTAAAACGTTTTATTATAAACACCCGTTAACTCGATTTTTACAACTACACTTTCCAAGTTGGAAGGCTCCATTCCGTCGAAACGTTTATCTACTTTGAAAGATTATCATAGCTCTACGTCGTAGTCATAGCAATATAATAATATTGACAACAAGCAAAGAGTAAGGTTTTTCGCCGTTCATATATTTTGTAATGTACAAATTTCAAATAACATGTGTTACTTATACCAAATAGTAGTCACCTTATTACTCATTTACTTTGACCAACATAGATATTGATATCACGAATAAGTTTGCTCGAATAATCAATATCACTGGCAATTAAATCTGTGATAGCTCTGAGTTTGGTCTAAAGAAAACAAAACAGCATTCATCATATGTTATTTTTACTCTCAAAATATTATCCTCATTTAATTTACTCAATTAAGTTGTTTAAAAAAACGAAAAAAACAAATTAATATTCAAATCGAAAAGGCATTAATTAAATACACAATTCTTTTCCAATTATGAGAATGAACTTAAAATAGACAGTGCTATAATAAAATCTTTCACTTAATTTTCACACCAATTGTCAGATGAAATCAATGAATCTGATTCGACAGGTAATAAATAAAATCAAAATTGTAGACACTCAGTTGCTGCAAAGCAGTGACCAAATCTTAAAATCTAGATTTCGTAAAATCCTCAACCCATCTAGCGTAAGTTGTAGTACGCTATTTTGAAAATCGAATGAGCTAGAACTTTTCGACGAACTGATGTCATTCTGAAGGCCACTTTAACGCTCTCACAATCATCCCTAATACCATTTCCCTTTTTTTTGGAAATTTGCGTTAGTTAATAGTAATAGGTCGCCAATTATTGATAGAAATTAAACATTGGAGTTCATGATATTTAATCACTTTTGGTTTTATCTTTTGCTTGCTCCTCACATTTTTATATGACAATAGAGTGCATAGACATTGCACCTTGCGTCTTTTTGGCAGGTAACTCGAATTCGGGAGAAATACTGCTCTTTGGTTGCTGTAGTTGTCGTTATCTATTTTTAATGACATTTAACCCAATTCGAAGATTGAACGGGTATAACCATATGCTATAAATAAATTAAAAGCCTTATTTCGCTCTATCCGAGAAGACATGATTTGTATAATATATGATTGAAATTTTTTTCTACCTAAAATAAAGCTATCATGCTCAGACACTATAACATCGCCAATGACTCAATGGCGTCGAGTTATGCAACATCTCGCTAAACGGCTTTTTGAAAGACTTTAGCACGTGTACTCCTTTACATCGCTTGAAATGTTCTTACAGATTTCTGACGCTCATGTTCTGTCAAAATTAATATGACTTACTTAAAATAATTACCAGACTTACTAGTTTTTCTGCAAGTGTTAGCAACAGAGTATCAATTCTATTAGAGTCAAAATTTCTAGCCACAGGCACAGTATAAACTTGATTTGCCTTTGGTGCATGGAGAGTTTTGATGCCTGGAGGCACTGGTTGTGACGACGTCTCATGTAGAGGGCTCAATGATCCCAAGCAATACCTTTCCCTACCTGGAGATCTTGGGCTAATGGTTGCATCACAACGATTTCGTGAAGTTTCCGGTGTATGTAAAACAGAATCTTTGTGCGATGTCTCCATTTTCGGGGAAAAATTGGCTGACAAAAGTAGGCTTTCTGTTGATATCCTCATTTCGACATCTTGTAAAAAGCTGGAGTAAACAGTACTATGTTCAATTACGAAGGGGAATTGATGACTCAGTGCAGTTATAATATGACTCCAAGAATTAATTATTTTATTAGTGATTTGTTAGAGCGAATGACACCAATTTTAGCAGAATTCACGGTGTTAGCATAATGAAGTAAACATGAATTGTAAATTATTAGATTGAGATGAACCACGATTAGTAGCAGTACAAACATACTCTGGATGTGAACAGACACGTCTACCTCCATATTTGTTCTTTCTTTTTATGCTAAATCAATTCAAATGAAATTGGGCAAATAAAATTTAAATTAGTTTGAAGTATTACCTTTTCATGCTCATAATAATATTGTCAAAAGTTCACCAGTAGAGTTTCTTTCACCAAGGCGAATTCATATTAAAATTTCGCATGAAAGCGACTATATGTGATCGTGATAAAAAGTTCAAATCGAGCTAAAATTATCAGTTGTCGGGACACTAACTTTCTGATAGAACGGGACATCTTTAAAATCCAACAGGCAGTTGCACAGAATCGCGTAATAATTAGCGACTTGAAAAATGCAAGTTATCCATGCTTTATTGAACTTCTTCCAAAAACATCACATTATAGTCACCCGGTTGTTTAAGCAAAATTATATAATCAAATAAATTTGATGAAAATATATGAACACTGGCAATTAACACATACTAGGGCGAGACGGCGAACCTCGGTAATCGTTTAAGGGGCGGCATTTCAAATCCAACTGGACCATTTACTTGGTTTCGTGACATATCTAACTTTCGGCGATTCCTGAGTATTTGCTGAAATGAGAGCGATAATGCTAAAGTCTCTCCTTTATCCTTTCCATTAGGCAGCACCATCGAACTCCTCACTCTATTGGCTCGCAATGGCTAGCCAATTGTGTGCGTGAATCGCCATAACAAAATGTTGCGCCCTACTGAGCCTCTCATTGTTGCAGTTAGTGAGGCATGCCACAAGATGGTTCAGAATTTAAAAGAAAAAAAGGTTTAAAAACTGGAAATCTAATTTGTGAGCGAAATTGATAATAGGATCAGTACTTAAACAGTCAGTATATTTATTAACTTATAGTTATAATTATATTTTACCCCATATTTATGGCTGAATAAATATTTAAGATTCTAAGGGTACTGTAATGTAAGCAAATGCTCTCAAAGATATACAGAATATAATTGATCACCAATCTCCGAATTTTATCGATGGCAATAAACTTCGAAATCCATATTTTCACCATTCTAGTTAGTCTGATTAAAACACTGAGATGGACCCAAAGGAATGCATTGTCCACTACGTCTATATTGACTAATTCCGGGGTGTGCGATAGACTTACCTCCACGTGGGGCACCATGGGCAACGTATACTCATACGGCAAAGAAGTCTCTTAACCGGCAGCTGACTTCTGACTTCAATCTACCATAACCCCACTGTATGTCATATTCGACTACTTTCACAGTACTCACCTCACTATTTCTCTACCTTTGTGTCTGCCTGTCTGTCTCTATGACATCTGTGAATCACTCCTCTATTCCCCCTCCCGATTTTTTATCACTTTGATTTTCCTCCCTCTGTGAATCCCGAAGTCAGCTAAATGGCTAATGATAAATATTCAAAACGCCTACCATTT